ATTTTCCTACCAGGTACCAAAATATTTAAAACCTTTATAACACAAACCTGAAATTAGGATTAGATATTCAAAACTTCTGGAATCTAGACATTCAGTTTTCTAATCTCCCTTCCCACCACACAACAAAACAGTGCCCATGTGGATACTCTGGAGAGTGATACAACCTGCATCATATTCTTCATTTCCAGGGCTCCAGAGTCTCCCTTTACCCTGTAAATCTCTACAAAAGGAGGCTCAGAGAACAAGGGCCCCTGCCAACATGAACCACATGGACCAACATGACTACAGTCTGTCTCATGGTCCATCTAAGTCACAGCAGAAATGACGGTTCAACAGACCTGCTCTGAACACCTTTCATTCAACATGGTATAGCTTTTTGTCTTCCTACAACAGAGGCAGAAGAGAAACATGGAAAGAACCCACTAACCTGCCATTACTACTCCTGAATACTAACCCTTCCCAGAATCCCTAATTGACTATGGTCACCTAGCTGGACCTCAGGATATTAGCAGTTCCTCTACAAGATGACTAGAGAGTAAATGACTCAGAAAGCACAGTTTTTTTCAGTTCTACCCTACAAGTCCAGCAGACAGTCCCTAGTTCTCTTTGTATTTAGCACACATTATTCCACTCTCCTAGAGCACATCCTCTTCCTCATCCAAAGCACAGGGTCCTTTGTGTGCACATTCCATTACACACTCCCATTCCAGTGCAGCCATCCCATTGCCTCAGAGATGGGAAATCCTGCAGACAAACACAGGTCACATTCATAAAGTAACTACTGTTACTGTGTAACTGTTGTTACTTTGTAACTGTTGTTAAAGAAAAACAGAGCAGGAATTAGAAAACAATTGGGTTCATGTTAGGGCTTGGAGGGAAAAAAAGAGAATGTGAAAATGATACAGGTTTCATCACAAAAATCATTTTGAAAAGTTGAACCAGACTTTTTGGCCATGTGCTCAAAAGACTAGGGATTTGTATTAGAGCCCATTAGAGATGTCCTATATATTTTCTCTAAAGATGAACATCTTAATCCAGAAAAGTAACAGTTCTGTTCAGCAGGACCAAAACATTTTACCCAGATCTACTATTTTGGATGAGCTACTATAAATATTGCAATTAGGTTTAATGATAAGTCTGTAACTTACCCAGATTCTTGATTGCCCTGGTTTGTGCATGGCAAGCAATGGTCAATCAGGATAATCATACCACATCTACAATGGACTGTTGTTGAAGGCCATGTGGGTCCAACATAGATTCCCTCACTAGACTGGAATGGAGTCGCGAGTCTGCAGAGTTCGTGACCACCTCAGACCAGGCTTATGGGTCTTGTGCCATAGAGAAATATGGGCCTACAGACTGCCTGATTCCACATAGGTAATCTCAACTACTGTTGAAGGAGGAAAGCTCTCGCCCTCCATCCATCCTCTCCCTTCTGCACTGTGCCTCCACAGCTTCACAGTCAGTCAATGAGCTCAATCCTTGCACAGGTCCCTCTTCTTAGTCCCCAATAAAATCCAGAAAGATCAGCAGACACTCATTAACTGTTCTATTTTTCTTTCTCATTGCTAGCCAAGGCCAAACCTGGAAGAAGTTGCAGGTTTGTTTTCCCAGCACTGGGCAGCAGAGGCAGGATTGGGGATTCAAAATGATTCTCAGTTACGTAGCATGAGGCAAGCCTAAACTATAGAAGACATTGCTCTACACAGAAATCAACTGTCAACATCGTGAGAGAAATGAAATGAAACTATTAATGACTTAGAAACATTGGAGAACAGAAACAAATAGAGATAACAGCAGCAATACACTGAAATTAAATATTTGAAAATGATTCCAATAAGTAATTTTGAAAGTGATAAAAAAATTACACTTTTAAGATTAAATAAAAACTTTGCCATATTGACTGTGAAAAAGAGGAGGCCCTTCCCTAAGAGAGAGGACATCATTAATAAGAGATAGATTGATGTTGCTCCTATGCATTTGTTGGCTGCTGAGATATATAATCTGACAAGTAGAGTTACAATAAGTGGCCTGTTTGCCAAAACTCTGAACTGACAAAATTGTGCCAAGTAAGATTATTCATATCTTCATAGGATTGTTTCCTAATTGCAAATTCAATGTTCATTGGCTCACAATAACCTTCCCAAAGTGTTCACCACTAACCATCTGCTCTCTATACATTAACATGGCATTAATTAAAATAAACCATACTTGGAAATTACAAAATCACTCCCCCTACCACAGTCCAGTCCTTTTTAATAATGGTGGCACCAACACCTGATTGCCTATGCTGTGTCCCCTGCAGTGTACACAATAATCTATTCCTCCTATTGTGGTCTGAAGACAGAAGGAATGGAATGCAAATCCTTTTCCTGTGACTGCATGGCATAGTCAACTACATGACTCAAATGCATAATTTTAGAACTGGGAGGTGGAACAGTCTTTTTATTTAAGAATTTTGAAAGTGTAATATAGAGAACAGCAAGGTCATTGCCCTGGACAGCAACAGACCAAGGCCACCTAAGTCAATATAACAGAAGTTGTCTCAGAAACAGTTTTTCTAACAAGATGGGAATGCAGCTGTTCTAGAACTGATATGTCTTTCCATTGAGAAACCACTTCACTCACTTAGGGAATTAATAAAGAAAAATCTATTTAATGATGGCATGCATCCATCTCTGGCTAATGCTCAAAGAGGAGCCAGCTAAGATAGATTTTGAGCTCCACATATGCTATTATCCTTACATGTCCTTTAGGTTCAGGCTTGGGGTTACAACTTGAACAATTGAAATAAAAACAGACAACTTGCCAGGCTAGACATTTAGGCAGACAGGAGAGTTAGACGTCAAAGTTATTCTCAGAATAATTTCTTAAGTACACGGGTGACCTGAGACAGCAGGGCATTCTTCACTGACAGGGTTCTGACGTGAAGGTCACAGGGGATGAGAAAGACAGGACAAGTACAATGTAAAAAGGATAGAAGCTATGGTGAGGAGGTCTTGGAGAAGATATGTCCTATGCTTTGTAAGCTTCTTAAGAAGGGTAGCATCTTGCCAGACAATGGTGGCACAGGCCTTTAATTCCAAGACTCAGGAGGCAGAACCAAGTAATCTCTTTAAAGCAAGCCTGGTCTACAGAGATTGTTATAGAACAGTCAAGACAGTCTAGGATAGTCAGGTCAGTCCTACAGAGAAACCCTGTCCCAAAACACAAAAACAAAACAAAAAAGAGAGAAGAAAAGCATCCTGTATCTTGTATACTTCCAGGGAGTAAATGGAAAGAAATGGAAGAATTTTATGAAGTCAGTAGAAACTATTACACAATGGGAAAAATTTAGGAGGAGGCTAGTCAAAACAATTCTACACAAGGGAACACAGAGTATCTCAAGAACTTTCCTACATGCACAGTTGGCTTTGGGACTGAAAATCATAGCTCCATATGCTAGGAAGAGTTGGTTTCTAAGGACCCAAAGAAACATCTCCACAAAAGGCTTATCACCAGACCATTACCAGCACTTCCAAACATATTCCTCATTTTAAATAAGGAGCTCTGTTTTATTATCAATACATTGGGCCCTTAGGGAAGGCTCCCAAGAATGTTCTTTCTCCCTGCCTGAGGTCCTAAATGAAAGCCTTCAGTGACCAGGTCAGTCCTTACCAAAACAGTATTTTGCTTTTCAAATATTTGTCACCTGATGTCATTTTGCCCATCTGACAGAACTATGCTTTTCTCAAAAAGTAAGGGGAACTTTAAGGTACACCAGGCCTTAAGGTTAGTTGTGACCCTCTAATGCCTCCTTGAACAGCTTGTTAGAGGCCTGATTTTTGACATGGGGAAGGGCCAAGAAGTTTAAATGGCTTCTTTGAAATGGTTTGAAGTCAAATATCTGAACATTCTGGTTGAAAAATGTGTACATGAGCATTCCATCTCTAACAGCTCTGGGTAACACATCCTTAGGTTTTGACTGTTTTACATGCAGTCCTCCCTTAGCTGCGTTTGTTAGCCTATGCATTAAGCCTCGGTAGTGGAGTGCTACAAACACATGAGAAGCCGTGGATGACCTCCACAAAATTAAAATTAATGATGACTATATGCGAAGGTTAAATGAATGTCAGGAAGATACTGGAGAAACTAGGCTTCTCCAAGTTGGCCAACTGGTTTCCATGAATGTATCATGCCTGCAGAAATTGACTAGAAAAACATTTGTACACACAGCTCCCTGCTCCCAACTTCCTAAGCAAATTAAGCCCACAGAGCAGAGTTATTCAGAAGCCTGCGCACAGGTCCATGAATTAGCAAGGACTGCATGGAACTTCACAGCACAGGAAAACTGGCAGCAGGCTCCCACCCAGATCCAGGGAGAATGCACCTTAGTGTCTCCCACACCTCACCCTCTGCTCCTCCCCATTTGGAGACAGCATTCCCTCGCTCACCATGTTGTGGGTCCTCAGCTCCCCATAGCTCTCAGTTCATCATCTCCCTGCAGCAGCAAAGGCACAACAGCACAGAAAATGGCTGGTGCCAGCTCCTCTGGAAAGTCTAACATGGAGGCAGGTTGCAGGAAGAGCACTGGCACCACTTCTGACTGGCAGGTCAACTGGAGGGCCTGATTGGCTAGTGATGATTGAGTGAGATGAACCTTCCCAAACGGCTAGAGTTTGCTTAAAGAGACAGCACAGTGGTTCCTGGCCATTCCTTTCTGCTCCCATCAAGTCTTTTCTAGATCTGCCAAGATAGGTATTTCAATAACACTTGCCCGAGCCTCCAATAAAAGACACTGCCACAATCCTGCACTCCATAGGAATCTTGCCTTTTTCCTGCAGGACACAACGTGGCTAGCTAGCGTGTACAGTGAACTGTGCTAGGTGGGTGTAGTGATTTCCTGTCCCACAGGTAGAAGGCAGCCCAGAATATGAACAACTAAAGAGAATTTTTAGATCACAAAAGGAAATGTTGTGTGATTTCATGCTGAGGTCAGATGAACTGAAGGTACAGTTTACCTGGTTGTCACAGGGATTTCAGACAATCATGAGAAAAAAGCAGGAACCAGATCTTAAGATCTTTCCCCCATCAGAAGTCTGGGCGATGGCTCCATGGCTTTACAAGTTTTATCCTGAAATTCAGAGCAAATTCCAGGCAAATAAAAAATGTTAAAGAGAGTAGTGTTCATGAAAATTTGAATACATAGAGAATAATGGATTCAGGAAGAATGTCTTCATCAACACTGCTACTAGCCAGCACATCTTCCTCCATGGGCTGGTGAATAAAATATACAGCTGTGTTACTACATGAACAAGACAGGTAGAATGAACTCACCATTTTAGTAGAAATTGGGCTTATGACAAAGTCTCACAAGCAGTGGTACAGGTCATCTTAAAATTAGCTGTCTGCCAATGAAAAATAACAGGAACTAGCAATCATTCATTATTTACGTGTCTTAATATCAATAGATTCGATTAACCTATAAAATGGCACAGACTAAGAAAATGGATACAAAAGCAGGATCCATCCTTTTGCTTTATAAAAGAAACACACCTAAACCTCAAAGACAAACATTGCCCAAGAGTAAAGTGTTAGAAAAAGATTTTCTAATCAAATGGACCTAAGCAGCACACATGTATAGGTATCCTAATAGTGAACAAAATAGACTTCAAAGTAAAGGCAATCAGAATAGATGAAGAAGGACACTTGATACCCATAACAGGAACAATCCATCAAGATGAAGGCTCAATCCTGAACATATATGCCCCAAATAGAAGAACACCCACACATGTAAAAGAAGCATCACTATAGCTTAAATTGCTCTACAAGAATAGTAGGAGACTTCAACACTCCACTCTCCCCAGTGGGCAGGTCATCCAAACAGAAACTTAACAGAGAAATGAGAGAACTAACAGATGTCTTGACATAAATGGACTCAACAGACATCTACAGAACATTCCACCCAAACACAAAAGAATATTCTTCTTCTCAGTACCTCACATAACGTTTCTAACGTGGATCACAAACATGTTAACAAAGCAAACCTCGACACACAAAAAATGGAATAACCCTGTGTCTTATCAGATCACCATGTTTTAAAGTTAGGATTTAACAGCACTAATCACAGAAAGCCTAAAAACTCATGGTAATTGAACAGTGCTCTATTAAACCACCCCTAGGTCAAGGAAGAAATAAAGAAAGAAATTAAATACTTTGGAGAATTCAACAAAAATGGTGGGACAGAATACCCAAATCTATGGGACACTATGAAAGCAGTGCTAAGATGAAAGTTCACAGCACTAAGTGCCTACATAAAGAAAGTGGAGAAAACTCACTCCAGTGACTTACCAGCACACCTGAAAGTTCTAGAACAAAAAGAAGCAGACTCACCCAGGAGGAGTAGAAGATAGGAAATAATCAAATTGAGGGCAGAAGTCAATAAAATACCAAAATTAAATCAACACCAGATGAACAATTCAAATCAGCTTATAACCTGCAAGGAAAGAAAAGAAGTCATCAAAAGCCATCCAACCAAAAAAAGCCCATGGAAAGACAGTTTCAGTTCAAAATTCTGTCAGAACCAAGAAGTAATAACTATACTCTTCAAAGGGTTCCACATAATAGAAACAGAAGTAAGATTGTCAAACTCCTTTTATGAAGCTACAGTTACCCTTATACCAAACCACACAAAGATTCAAACAAGGAGAATTCCAGACCCATCTCACTGATGAACATACATGCAAAAATACTCTATAAAATACTAGCAAATCAAGTCCAAGAACACATCAAAAAAATTATCTATCAGCCGGGCAGTGGCGGCGCACGCCTTTAATCCCAGCACTCGGGAGGCAGAGGCAGGCGGATCTCTGTGAGTTCGAGACCAGCCTGGTCTACAGAGCTAGTTCCAGGACAGGCTCCAAAGCCACAGAGAAACCCTGTCTCAAAAAACCAAAAAAAAAAAAAAAAAAAAAAAAAGAAATCATCTATCATGTTGAAGTCAGCTTCATCTCAGAGATGCAAGGATGGTTCAACATACAAAAATCTATTCAGGATCCTGCCCACTTTAAGTTCCTACCATGACATCCTTTAATAGTGAACAACAATATGGCAGTATAAGCCAAATTATCTCTTTTCTCCCAATCTTGCATTTTGGTCATCATGTTTCATCACAACAACAGAAACCCTAATTAAGACACCACATTCGGTTGATATGTATGAGAGACCTGCTCTTCTCTAAAGTTAAACAAAGAAGAGAGATTTGGGGGAAGGTTGGGACAGAGAGCAATGGTGGGAGGAAACACTGCAGTCAAGATGAAAGAAGAATAAATAAAAGACAAATGAAAGAGAGGCATGAGGGAAACTGAGGTAAGATTGGGTCAAGGAAAGATGAAAACTTAGCAGGGCAAATGACAAATCTTGTGGCTCTATCTCAGGTATATGGGCTTTATTTCCAAAGGGCTTAGAAAGTTCTATCCATGCTGAAGCATTAATCTAATTAACATTTAACAATAAGAAATCAGGAGTCAGAGAGCAGGGTAAGAAACTGAAATATCAGATAAGCAGTTAACCAGCAAATTGTGACTACCACCTCTTCAATTTCTCAATGTTAGTAAAGTGCTAATATTCTCTTAGGCCTGCCCAAGTCCTCCAAACCTCTATGGTAAATTTTGGTCAGGTAGTGATTAGCTCTGCTGTAATGCTAAGCAAGCTTTATTATCAGAATATAATCAAAATATCATACATTTCCCTATTTGTCTAATTAAAAAATGAAGGTTTTAACTAACACAGTAAAGCCATATACACTAAATACATTAACTATATATAATATATACAGGGAAGAATTATACTAACAATGTCCAATCCATTTGCATTTGGTAAATTTAGAGAAAATGTTTGATCATCTATCCTATCTTAGTAAGCCCAAGGTGTTGTACATAAATTACTTTTTATCCTAACTGGTATTACTGACCTTAAATAATCTTTCTATGTCTTTTAGCCTTGTATACTTTATACATTTTTAGTTCATTTTTTTGAATTTGTTAACATGCATAATTACAATTATAGAGTCTGTAGCTCCATCAGAGAACTCAGAAGGATATAATATTACCTGAGTAAACAGAAAGTATAAAGCAAACAACATTTAAAATAAAAAACAACACCTCCTGTCTATTTAAAATGAATTTTTGCCAGGTTGTACTGGTCAATGCCATTAATCCCAGCACTTTCATAGCAGAAGCAGATATATCTCACTAAGTTAGAGACCAGCCTATCCTGAAAAGTGAGTTCCAGAAAAGCCAGAGCAACACAGAGGAATCTGTCTTAAAAAAAAAAAAGGAAAAAAATGTCTTTTTGTTTCACCTTGAAAACACAACTAACATGATTATAAAAAGTGAGTGTTAGGCCAATTTATTCCTTTGGACAAGGATATTTTATTTGGATGATGTGTTATTTTTAGATATCTCAGCTGTCTAGTGGTTTTTAGATTCCTTAGTTTTATGTTTTCATACTTTTGTAAAGACAAAACAAAACTCTGCCTTCATCCTAACTTTATGAAGATTTATTGTTGGAAATTATATTTAATCAAAAGGAAAACATCTGTTAATCTTACATATTAGTTAAGATTGAATGGTAATGCCTCTGATGAACTATTGTCTCTTTTACTCAAGAGATCTTTTTGTTTGAAGCTAATCTTTAAGGATTGAAGTGGTCTCTATAACTTTATTCCCCAATTTAATACATATCTTGGTGTTTATTCTGAATGCAATGTATCTTTAAAGCATACAGGTTGACTTAATTTAGCAGGGCTTTTTTATTATCTAATATCTCCCCACAGCTATTATTTCCTTTTTCCTAGCATTTAAAAATTTTAAAGTTAATAATCTATTCTGTAACCTATTTCTGTGGTCTTAATTCCTCCTTTCTGTTAACTGAGCATATATTTTTAAGATGCCTGATGAAGTGTTAATCTAATTAATCTTTTTCAATCCCAAAACAACCTAAAAATGGTTTAAAATCTGCTTCCTGCTACATGGCATAGAGCAGAATATGTGGATTGTGCCCTATCTACCTGTCTAACGCACTGCACACCTGAGAAATCTGTGCACATCCGAAACTCCTTTTGTCCCCTGGAACTAAGCTTCACTGGATCACACCATTGCAGCTAGTGGTAACACCATGTTAAAAGCACTCTACTCTACTATTACTCTACCAGGTCCTAAACAATTTGTAATCTTTATAACACAAACCTGAAATTAGAATGCAATATTCAGAACTTCTAAAAACTAAACCTTCAGGTTTCTAATCTCTCTTCCCACTGTACAACAAAAGCAGTGCCCATGTGTGTACTCTGGACAGAGATACAACCAGCACCATTTCCTTCCATTCCAGGGCTGCAGTATTTCTATACACAAAGAGGCTCAGAGAACAAGGGCCACTACCAACATGAACCACATGGACCAACATAACTGCAATCTAGCTCATGGTACTTCCAAGTCTCAGCAGAAATGACATTTCAACACACCTGCTCTGAACACCACCCCCCCACCATTACGGGATTGCTTATGGTCTTCCTTACCACCTCCTAGAGCAGAGACAGAAGAGAATCCTGAAAAAAAAACCTCACAAACTGTCTGCCACTAGTACTCTTGATTTCTAACCCTTCCCAGAATCCCTCACTAGCTAGGGCCACCCAGCTGGGCTTCTCAATATTAGCAGCTCCTCTACAGGAGGATCAGAAAGCAAATGACTCAACAGTACAATCCTTCCAGTGCTGCCTTCCCAGCCCAGCAGACAGGGCCCCAGTTTAGACAATTTGTATTTAGTACACATTTTCCCACTCTACTAGAGCACATCCTGTTCCTCATCCAAAGCACAGGGTCCTCTGTGTGCACATTCCATTACATACTCACTTTCCAGTGCAGACATCCCATTGCCTCAGAGATGGGAAACCCTGCAGACAAACAGGTCACATTCATAAAGTAACTACTGTTACTGTGTAACTGTGGTTACTTTGTAACTGTTGTTAAAGAAGAACAGACCAGGAATTAGAAAACAATCCAGGGATCTTAGGGCTTGGAGGCAGCAAGGAGAATGTAAATATGATGTAGTTGTCATCTCAAAACTATTTTGAAAACGTGAGACAGACTTTATGGTCATGTACTCCAGAGACTAGGGATTTGTATTAGAGCACATTAAAAATTTCTCATGTATTTTCTAATGATCAATGTCTTAGTAGAGAAAAGTCCTGTTAAGTAGGGCCACAACATTTTACCCAGATCTTCTATTTTAGATGAACTACTGTAAATATAGCAATTAGGTTTAAAGATAAGGTCACTCCCTTACCCAGTTTCCTTTTTGCATTGGTCTGTGGACTGCAAACAATGGTCAATCAGGACATTCATAAAGCATCTACAGTTGACTACCTGATTCCACATAGCTAATCTCAACTAATTATGAAGGGGAAAAGTTTTCACCCTCAGTCCAGCCTCTCCTTTTCTGCACTGTGTCTCCACCAGCTTCAATAAACTCTTCCTCCTACTGTAGTCTGAGGACAGAAGGAATGCTCCACATGCAAATCCTTTCCCTACAACTGCAATGCATAGTCAACTACATGACTCACATGCATAATTTTAAAACGGCGAGGTTGCACAGTCATTTTTTGTAGGAATTTTTAAAGTGTAAAATACAGGACAGCAAGGTCATTGCCCTGGACAGAACAGACCAAGGCCACCTGAGTGAACATAAGAGCATTTGTCTCAGAAACTATTTTTCTAACAGGATGGAAATGAAAGAATTAATATAACTTTCATTGAGAAATCACTTCACACACTAATGGTACCAAACTGTAATGCCTCCTTGAAAGGCTTGATAGAGATATGGGGATGAGCCTGGTGTCTGGTTTTAAATCAGCAGTGGATTCTTTGTAATGGTTTGGAGCCAAATATCTGAACAAGCCAGTTGAACAATGTGTACCCTAGCATCCTAAAGTCTAACAGCCCTGATTAGAATACATTTAACTTTTGGGTGATTTAGAGGCAGTCCTCCCTCAGCTAAATTCTGCTTTGGGAGACTGAACTATTTCCAAGGCATTGGCGAATCCTTTGTATCAGCAATTCTCCTCTTCTACGTTGCATTTTAGAAGTGCTGCACTACCCAACAGGTGAGATGCCTTGATACCGTCCACATAGTTAAACTTAAATGGAGATTGTATATAAAGGTTATATGCAAAGTGCTCAATATGTAGAAGATGCTGAAGAAACGAGGCTTCCCTGACTTTGGCGTATTGAAGTTGACAAGATGTTTGTACACAGAGCACCCTGCTCCCAATTCTCTAAGCGGATTAAACCCAAAGCGCAAAGTTATTCAGAGGTCTGTCCCTAGGTCTAGGAATTAACAGGACCGCATGGGACTTCACAGTGCAGAGAATCAGGTGGCAGGTTCCCAGGCGGATCTCGGGAGGACGCACCATACTGTCTTCCGCACTCACCCTCTGCTCCACCTCACCTGGAGACAGCATTTCCCCACTCACCATGTTGTGGTTTCTCGGCTCTCCAAACGTCTCAGTTTATCAACTCCCTGCAGCAGCAACTTCACCGGGGAACACAGAAACTTGACCGGAACACAGAAAACAAACGGCGCCAGCTCCTCTGCAAAATCGAGACTGAATGCGGATGCCCGGAAGAGCCCTGCATAACGTCTGACTGGCAGGTCACCTGGAGGGCCTGATTGGCTAGTGAGGCCTGAGTGACAAGAACACCTCCCACAGGACTGAAGTGTACTTAAAGAGACAGCACAGAGATTTCGGGCCATTCCATCCACCTGAGTCAAAGATCTTTTCTTGATTGGCCGAGATATGCATTTCAATAGCACTTGCCCCTGGCTATAAAAGCTGACACCCTCATAATCTTGCACTCCACAGGAACTTTCCCTTTTACCTCCAGAATACTAAGTGGCCAGTTAGCTTGTACAGTGCACTGTGCTGTGGTAGGTGAGTGCAGGGATTTCCTGTCCCACAGGGGAAAGAATGCCCAGAATATTAACAGCTAAAGAGTTTTAAGGTCACAAAAGGAGATGTTTGTTTTGTGGCTTCATGCTGAGGTCAGATGAACTGAAGGTACATTTTACATGGTTTTCACAGGGATTCACACAACAGAAAAGAGAAAAGCAGGAGCCAGATCTCAAACAAGATGACAGGTCTTTCCCCCATCAGAAGGCTGGATGATGGCTCCATTGCTTTATGGGTTTTATTACTGAAATTTGAAGCAAACTCCAGGAAAATGAATAATAATAAAAAGAGTAGTGTTCATGAAAATGTGAATATGTAGAGAATAATGGAGCTAGAAGGAACTGCAGTATTCAAGATTCTCTACATGAACAGGATTGGTAGAATGAATCTCAACATGTATGTAAAAAGTGGGCTTATTAGAAAGTTTCACAAGCTGTGTTTCAGGTTGTCTAAAAATAGCTACTTATAAATGACAATTAAAGAATTCCATAGATTGCTTCTCAGCCTTTTCCCAAAGATCAAGTAAAGAATCCAGTAGTTGTTCAGCCCATGAGGCTTGATGTCTCAACTGGTTTTAAGTATTCACCAAAATTTCAAAGAAGTAATCTCTAGTACTAGTAAAGGAATGAGCTTGGTAGCCAGAGCAAGGTGACAACAAAGAGACTTTTCTACTTCAATATACTTTCTATGTAACTGCTCCTACCAGAAGGTGAGAAGGTTAAAGTTAGATCATAGTCTTGTTTGATTCAGATTTTCTTGTTTTGGTGATTTCAAGACAGGATTTTTCTGTGTAGGTGTGGAACTCATTCGGTAGGCCAGACTGGTCTCAAACTCAGAAAATCCCAGTGCCTCTTGTTGTGCCCAGACTATGACCACCAGAGAGAGACCACCAGATAGGTTCAGACTGTAATAAGCAAGGTTTAATCAGCATAATACAAACATGTTTGGTACTCATCTCCACCCCCCTTACAGAAAGGTAGAGAGGAGTTGTATCTCCTCTGTGCGGTAAGCTTTTAAAGGCTTAACTACAAAGAGAATCTTTGCTGTTGCCTTAGCATGGATACAAGGACTTTTGCTCCCTCCCATTCTGTTAAGACAGCTTTCTCCTTGTTCTTAGAGCAAGGCCACTGTCCTTGAGTTAGGCCATCTTTAACAGCCTGTAGCAGGTGGCTGGCTGGGCTGACCTAGGTGACCTTCTGCTTGGAATCTTGCAGGTGGGAGAGGGAAAGGCCACTATCTTCCTGAGAAAACATTCTGTTAGGAAATTTCTTCTCTCCCCTTTGATAATAAGGGGTGAGGGTACCACACCTCTTGCTCCTGAGTCATGGTGTTAAAAGTGTGCATGGCCACCAAGCAGCTAAAGGTGGGTCCTACTATCTCAAACTATCCAGATTAGTGGAAGATTTTCCCATTTCAAACCTTTAAGTAAAATCTCTCTCAGGTATAATTAATTCTTTGTGTACTAATTAATTCCAGAGGTAGTCAGTTTGACTACCAAAAATAGCCATTTCTACAGCCAAGACAAAAGAAATGAGAAAAAATTATTCTTGCAGGAGGCACAAAGTGCACGGGAGTTATTTTTTTCCTCAACAAAGGAAGAATGGGGATTTTCCTTAGGATGTCTGCACACACTCATGTAATGTTCTCCCTTTTCTTAAGCATGCTAAATTAACAAATCCACTAGTGAACATGATTACAATGTAAAAACAGATATTTAGGGACATTCTTACCACGAAGTCTTGCAGGAACATATCTAAATTGGACAAGTTAAGGAAAGAAATGTCTCTGGCATGTTCATATTTTACCATAAGGTCTTACTTGAAAATCAAGTAGATGACATTGTGAAAAGTTGATTGTCAATCTTGATGATCAATCTAAAAGATAACTGTACCAACATCATATATCTCACAGACACAAAATATAGAGAACACAAAACCAGAAAACTTCAAGAAAAAGTCACCTAAAAGCCCTCTATACGGTGCTCCTGGATGAACGGTTATGATGATCTCTGTTACTCTCAGAGCAAAGCTGGTTTTGCTCTGAGCAGGGTGGCAAGACAGAAGGCCACAGCTGCTTCCATGCAAGGTAAAGAGTCCATTTTAACTAGACCTGGCTTGCTGTCTGTCTCGGGGTCAGGATATCACTGTAGAGAATTTCATTCTTTCTTTTTTCTAACCTTAAAAAATCTTCAGTTATATGGTGTTTTCCTTGCATGTGCCTATGCACAGTACCTACAGAGGGCAGGAGAAGGGATGAGATACCTGGGACTTGAATCAGAACAAATGGTGAGCTAGCATGCAGGATCCAGGAATGGAATCAGGGTCCTCTGTGAAAACACCCAGTGATGAGCCATCTATCTAGCCCCTCTTTTCAATTTATAATTAATCTTTAAAAATTGTTAATCAATAGACAATACATCACTTTTTTTTATTTCATTATTCCATCCCTGCCACAATTCCCTTCCAACTTCATCCTTGTTAAGTGTGGGTAAATATATATGCTGAAATACATAAATATGTTATACCCAAATCTGCAAAGTCTCCAACAAGCCAACAAGGAGATCAAGTCCTATACATAAAAGCAAAGAGCCTTTATTTTATGCAAGTTTGCAAACTCGGTCTCTCTGCATGTCCAGTGTATTGGAATAACTGGAGAGCCCTGAGCTGAGTTAGAGTTTGGTTTTTATAGTAGTAAAGGTGGGGGTGAGTGGTTTCTAAGGTTCAGGACCCCTGATTGGTTGACATTTGCCTAGGGGTGTCCTGGTGAGTGTGTGCTGGCAGATGATCCTATCTAAAGTGGTTGGAATATTAGGCATTTCCTTTGGATGGTCTATTTTTGGTGGTGCTTGGGTAATCTCAGTTTATATTGATATGGATTTTTGTATATTGATAGAAATTTACAGTTGTTTTGTTAGAAAATTATATATATACATATATTTGTTTCTAATCTCAATCAAAGTATTGTACCTATATACCTTATTTAACAATTCAATGCAAATTCGTAGGCCTTGAAAGTTATTATATCAATTAATTAGAATATCATGAAATATAAATTAGTAGTCATTAATTATAATCCATCTCGTAGTTATATTAGGTATATTTTCAAAGTCAAGCTGAGATATATTTTAGATAACCTATGACAATTGGGCATGACTTACCATGGGTATATTTTTCTCTGTAAATGTGACCAAAAAAAGGGAGTAGAAGTTTATGTTCTGTCTTTATTAGTCAGAGCTGGTGCAATCCTGGCTGTTGGTCATCATAGCTCTTGGGAGAATTACATGACAGGAGCATCTAGAACAGTGGCATCTACCTAGTTCTCTATTTCTGAGTTTATTTTTCCTTTGAACCCTGAATAAATTGTTAAATACACTTTTGTGGGTTCTCACTTCAATAGGAAGCATGGTTGTGTGCACGCAGACTTGGTACTAAAGAAAGAGCTGAGAGTGCTACATCCAAATCACTAGGCAGCAGGTAGTGAAAAATGCTTATTTGTCCCTTGACCCAAGAATGAACAAGGAAAGTGGGCTACATTTACACAACTGAGTAATACACAGTAAAATAATGACATCTTGAAATTTGCAGGCAAATGGATGGATCTAGAAAACACTATATTGATTGAGGTAACCCAGACCCAGAAAGAAATATTGTATGTACTCACTCGTAAGTAACATTTAGACACAAAGTGAAGAAAAACCAGCCTAAAATTCACAATTCCAGAGAACCTAGACAACATGAGGACCCTAAAAGAGGCATACATGAATCTAATATACATGGAAAGTAGAAAAAGATAAAGTCATGACATCTGTTAGTTCTCAAACACAGTGGTGTTTGTTTATACAGCTTGTTGCCATGTAATAGAAAAGAACTTTTTCAATCCTGCTATTGACATGATATTTTCATGAATTATGATGTCATCATCACATTTCCAAACAATAATTATTCAGTTTCTACATTTCCTTATGCTAGAGGACCGGACAGACCCATATGGGATCTAATGTGTGCTATATATATAAGACAAAGCCTATTCCTGATTATATCTTGAACATGAAGAAACAATGGAGTCAATTCTGCATCATCTAGTATAAATTCTGTGGTTTCAATATGCAAATTGCTCTTTCTGCATATTGAAAATCAATAACTATGTTGAAAAGTCCTTTAAAATCCCTTAGTACAGAAAATAGAACACTAAGACAAATAACTATTAAAGCGACTAAAGATAATCTAAGATAAACTATAATTTTGCTCTAAACCTACATCATCCAAACCTCTCCAGAATCACAAAAGTACTAATCAATTCATTGTTCTTGCAGAAGATCCAGTATAGTGGCGTTCTTCTGGGAACAACTGTTCACAGTTGTTTAGTCCTGTGCCATTAGGCAGAAATTCACAATGATTGGAAAGGTTACTGAGAAGTTTCTTTATGACATGGGGACTAGAAAGCAGAAAGAAGGAATACAGGAAAGGCCAGGGAAATATATAACTTGCACGGCACATTTCCAGTGACCTACTTCCTCCAACTATACTCTAAAGATCATACTAACCCCAAATGGTGCCATCATCTGGGAAACAAGTCAATAAGCATACGAACTACGGGCTCATTTCATTTTCAAACTCTAACCATGGCAATGAACTCCTAAACACTAAAGCTAG